AATAGCCGGGTGGGGTTTCAAAAAAAATTTTATGAAATTTTATATATAAAAATTAAAAAAAAAAGCCGGCCGGCCGGCCGGGTCATGTTTAAAATTTAATGTTATGAGAAACAAAAAATTAATTTTGTATGGCCTTATTTTATAAATTTTATAAATTATAACTATTTAAATCTAAATTGGTGAATAGAGTTTTTATACCGGGTGTTTGATAAGTCCCTGGACAGGACCTTTTTATTGATCACTTTAATTATCAAAACTATTCCGTAAAAAGGTCCTATCTAGAAACTTTTTAAGTAAATAACAAAAAGATCCTGTCCAGGGACTTATCAAACATCCGGTATAAAGCTCAACGAAAATTCTATATGAAAATAACGTCCTGATAACAGTACTCTTATTTTAAAATAGACGTGACTTTTCTTACACCTTTAAATGTTCAAAAAAATTCAACAATCACAATTAATTGGACTTTTAGTGGTACTCAAAACACGATTGTTGAGCTAGGAATAAGTAATGATCAGCAAAGAATCGTAATAGACAATAATATCGATCTTAAAAAAAGAAATGAAAATTGGACTGTTACTGTTGATGCTGGAATTTATCGGTTATTTCTATATGATTTAACTTCTAGAATTTATACATATTCGAATTCAGTAACGGTTAGTCATCTATATGATTTAACTGCTAATACATCTTCGAAAACATCAACTGCTAGTCAAACTGCTAGTCAAACTGATACTCCAAATGAAGGTAAGAATTACACTGCTGTTTATATATAATTATACAGTATAACTTATATATATATTTTTAATATATAGGGTTATCAAAGACTTATATTATAATAATTGTTGTAGTTTTTGGCCTCATTTTCATTATTCCTCTTCTAATTGGACTTTTCAATACAGTTGGTGCAATGTCAAGAGTACAATTTTTTTTCTTATACTTATTAGCATTCACTATTCCTCCATTATGTGTTATTATAAAGTGTGATAATGATAAAGTATTGCAGGTTTTGTTAAATATAATTTTCACAATTCCTTATATTCCTGGTGTGATTCATGCGCTTTATTGGGTATTTTCATAAGAGCAATACGAATAGTACTGTAGTAGTGGTGTATGGTTTAATAAAGTAGTGGTGCGTAACACGTTAAATTAGCAAACACGTATGTATTGTTGGTGAGATCACAACTGTTTATAAAGTAATATATTGTGTATAGTATACAAACGTATATAAAATTTATGCAAATGTAACGTTAAAGAAAACAAGACTTTGGGCTTTTAAACGCAGAATCATAGAAATAAGTATCGTATGTTATCCGATGTCTGTATGAAGTTTTTTCCGTGATATTTTGCACAACTGACTACGTAATTTCGTGCATATACAACATATAGGTTATAAGTAACAAATTACAATTTATTGTGTTTAAAACAAATTGAAGTTTCTTATTAAGTTTGTAAAAACTATTTTTTTTAATTCTAACTAGCGATGTCAAATGTGGCGGGCGACTTCATCACCCGTTTGCAGTTTTTGAGTTTAAATTTGATTCATTCATATTATAATAAATTTAAGTACAATGAGTAGCAACTTGAAGTTGATTTTAATTTCGATATGATGATTAAAATGTAATCGATTGAAATAATGACACCTATATACAAATAAATACAAATTTTTACCATATTA